GCCTTTTCATGCAGTGCAGTGTCATGTCGTCATGAGATAACAGCCATCAGCCACAGATGGATGAGCTGCTGGTGATTGAGTTCTCAAGCTCTTCTCTCTCAGAAATCTTTTATTAAATGCGATTCCGTAGCCACTGGTAAACACACTGAAGCAAATCCCCAAAGATCACACTTAGGCTCCACTCTTTTGTGGCAGGCATGTTGATGACACAGTCTTGATAAACAGTAATAGTTGAGTACACGATCGCTGGTGTAGTTTTAGTGTCCATTTCCACTCCAGATAAACAGATTTTTGTATGTTCTTCGAGTCAAACGACTGAGTTGACATGCTGCTGCAGGGCTCTTTATACTTGACATATTCAAACGTTAGACTCGAGAAATTTAGTTCCGAAGTTTCCATTTTTCGGGATCACTGACATTATTTGAGAACGGGCCGCCTCTTAAAAGTACTTTATCTCTTGTAAGGTGTTCAACTACAAGTTTTCTTTAATCATACCATATCAAGTCTTCATTTGCGGACTTCAGGCATTTCTATACTGGAGATATATCTGTCTATATGATCTTAAAGCTAAATATACAGATATAAAACAACAACATACAAAACTTCTTTTTGGACACTGCTATTCTGGAAAACAATTCATTTGTTAATTCCACTATTTTGTAACTGTGCAGCGCTGATGACGATTGAGATGATTTATTGATGAAGATTTACTATTCTTTAATAAAAAATATTTAAAACATGAATTATTATTATTATTTTTAATGCAGTGTATCACAAAGCTTCTGCCCTATACTTATATAGGTCTTATGTATGTTATACTAAATGAATGAATGATTGAATGAACGCTCATATTATAACAACTGTTAAGTACACACATGGTTATACAAGATCCATTATTTATTAGCTGGCTGAAAATCTTCCCGTGTTACCTCTGCTGAGCGATTGTCAGAACAGGCCTCATTTCCTAAATAACATTGGGAGATCTCCTATTCCATAAACCATTAAAGGTGTATTCTGCTTTATATAGTAGTAATTAAATAAATGATTACTTAATATTCTGATATCTGATGATAATTTGCTTAATTGTTTGGCAACAGACAGGATCAAAATTCTCAAATTTAAAAATCTTTTATTAAAGCACATATCTAGCACATTTGACAGTTTCAGGAGAATCAAAAATAAAAGTAACAAAAGTAAAGTGTCCAGGAAGAGGTTGTGAAAGTCAAGGGCATGCAATGAGACGTCCCGTGGATCCTTATGTTAATGTGATGAATGTAGAAAGTCATGCATGAGCTCAAGCAGTTTGTTGGTTTCAAAGTCCGGTTTCATCTAGTTGTTGCATATCATGTACGGTAAGTGTGTCAGCCCGAAGATGTGGGACACTATAGAGTAAAAAGTCAAAACCCGAACATTTTCAGAACCGCGTGCGGTGATGACCAGCCTAGAAAGCTGCCTTTTCATGCAGTGCAGTGTCATGTCGTCATGAGATAACAGCCATCAGCCACAGATGGATGAGCTGCTGGTGATTGAGTTCTCAAGCTCTTCTCTCTCAGAAATCTTTTATTAAATGCGATTCCGTAGCCACTGGTAAACACACTGAAGCAAATCCCCAAAGATCACACTTAGGCTCCACTCTTTTGTGGCAGGCATGTTGATGACACAGTCTTGATAAACAGTAATAGTTGAGTACACGATCGCTGGTGTAGTTTTAGTGTCCATTTCCACTCCAGATAAACAGATTTTTGTATGTTCTTCGAGTCAAACGACTGAGTTGACATGCTGCTGCAGGGCTCTTTATACTTGACATGTTCAAACGTTAGACTCGAGAAATTTAGTTCCGAAGTTTCCATTTTTCGGGATCACTGACATTATTTGAGAACGGGCCGCCTCTTAAAAGACCTTTATCTCTTGTAAGGTGTTCAACTACAAGTTTTCTTTAATCATACCATATCAAGTCTTCAATTGCGGACTTCAGGCATTTCTATACTGGAGATATATCTGTCTATATGATCTTAAAGCTAAATATACAGATATAAAACAACAACACAAAAGAAACATTTGTATTGTAGAAGTATTGGTAACGCTTTAGATTACAACCCGCAAAGAACTACGTAAGTATACTGAATTTACGGTGTACGTTTCTGTAAGTATAGTGTACCTATAAAGAACGTATGTGTAGGTGTAAGGGAACAATATGTTACGTTTGGGTAATAAGGGGGTAACAACCAGATATGCAACCTGCAAAGAACTGCTTAAGTAAACTGAAGTTACAGCGTAACTTGTTTGTAATTATAGTGTACCTATTCAGTAACTCCGTGTAGGGAAATAATATGCGACATTTGCGGAATAAAGGGGAATCAACCTGTAAAATTACAAATCATTTATACTGTAAGTATTTTGAAACTAAGAGGTACCTATTCTAATATTACGTGGTATGTATGGCCTAAACAACAATCTTATGTTTGGGAATGATTGAGAAAGACAATATACTTTTTATAATTTTATATAGTTATTTTATTATAGGCCTATAGGTATTTTTTTAACCATGGGGTACAAATTCTATTATTAAAGGATACATGATGGAGATTACTGAACAACAAAACTGGACATCTAGTGAAACGAGTTAATGAGTTTCTGCTACACTGTAAAAAGTAATCACTAAATCTACTTAAGAAAAGCGAGTAAACATAACTGATTTTTACAAATGTGTTGAATTTACTTAATTACACTGTGTTATGTGAACTTTCAGGTGGATGCAATAGTTAAACGAAACAACTTTAGTACACAGTACTTAAGAGCATCTAGTTTGTTGGATTAAATCCCACTATGTGCCCTAATAACTCTAGACCAGTAGGTGGCGGAAGTGCACCAACAGGTGGCGGAAGGTTGGTTTAAACAAAACATCACTAACATTGTTTTAAACAAAGACATGCCCTATTGTTGTGCTAACAATCAGTTTTCTGTCTTTGTATTAACAACTAAGTTTTGAGTACAGCTTACTTGAGAAATTTAAGGCAATCAGTTTCCACACATTTATCTAGTAATGTGAACAAAGCAGACTTGTTAAGAGAACTGTTTTGTTTGAGTTCTGTGCACTAAGCTTAACTTACATCTCTTAAGTTTGCTGAACTTGTCAAGTTGAGTTAGCAACACTCAAGTTTTCTGGTAACCTCTACATATACACAAGTTACCTATACAAAGTTACAGTAAGTTTTATTAAGTCAAAAATGATAAACTAATTTGCTTGAGAAATTTGAGGCAATCAGTTTCCCCAGGTTTTCCAAGTAAGTTCAACTAATTACTTTTTACAGTGTATGAATTATAATTCACGAGTCTACTTACCTTATGAAAGCTTATTCGTCGATCTCAGCAACTTCACACCAGCAACGTCTCAACACCACTATCACCAAATAACTTTGCATGATATACCATCAAGGTTCAATGCAGCTTAAAACAAGCTTACCTCTTTCCAGCTGTTCGCAGAAAAAATACATGATACAATTTTTTGCATTTCAATGGATGTATACTGTGGTGTTTTTATAGCAAAAAAAAAAAAATTTAGAGGGTTTAATTTGGCCATCGGACAATCAAATTAAAACTAGTGCAATATTTTTCCTCTGTAATTACTTTGCAAATATACACACTGTGTTTAATTTCAACTTGTTCCCCCCTTGTTCCATGTAGTTACAGGGTAAATACAAAATTTGCGGGCTGTAATATTAATTGGTGCTTGTTCCCCCTTTGTTCCATGTAGCTACAGGGTAAATACAACATTTGCGCGCTGTAATAAAGTGGTGCTTGTTCCCCCCTTGTTCCATGTAGTTACAGGGTAAGTGGCTACAACAAATTGCTCTGAAATGATTGTTTATACAGTAGGTCATACATACATGCATTATATATCAGGTAATGTATCAATAAACATGGTGGAGTGTTTTATTTACTATAGGCCTTCTGCTGGGTTAAATTAACCTAAAATGGGTTTTAAAATTAAAATCACACACAATATGACAACAGTAACAACACAGGCAACAGATAGCCTAATAAAAGATTAAAAATTATTACACCAGATCAGAAAAAAGCAAAGCAAATCCATACTTATACAGCTTATACAGTTAAACCAAATTCTTTTGAAAAGCTTGTTTAAGAACAAATTTAAGATTTTGTTCAATTTGTTCATTTTTTTTACCCACTGACGAAGTTAAACTATTATGGCCCAACCATCACGCCAATAAACACACAGTAATAAACACTGAGAGTCAAGATTAAACTGTGTATTATAGCGAACTGACAGGATTTTACCGTCTTTGATTTTACTGTTTTGATCCACATCCTCAAGCACCATTTTGACTAGTTAACAGTTCCCGGTTTTACCGCTCATCAGTCGCTGCTCAATGTTGTGAGAACATACTAGGACAAAACCCTCCAGTTTTAAAAGAACACATTCCAGTCAGTTTCAAAAATCTCTCTCCTCCTCGCTTCGATTCGTTTTCTTGTATTTTTGACACATATTCCTGTCACGAGCGCCGCAAATACAGACTCAATCGTCTCGAGCGCCATTCTGTTTCCAGTTCGCACTCACCACATTCACTGGTCCAGTTTTAAAGGAACACACTCCAAACAGTTTCAAAGTTGTCCCTCGTCTGCGCTTCGATTAGTTTTCTCCTATTTTCCACACATGTTCCCGTCTTAAGCACCGCAGTCACGGATTTCGTTGCACACAGAACCGTTCACGTTTGAACTCACGTGACTTGCTGCATGCTCACGTCCTCCACATTCCTAACCCAGCGCCGTCGGGTTACTTATTACTGATATCAACCCAAATTGGGTCAAATCAAGTTGGCTTCCTAACCCAACAGTCTCAACCAAGCGTTTGGATTGAAACAATTACCAGCGTGTTTTATATGTGTAGGCTATAAAAAAGTACACAGTGTATGTTTTTGCTAAATCGCTTGCAAATATAAGATTGTTGTTAGGTCATACATACCACATAATATTAGAATAGGTACCCCTTATTTTCAAAATACTTACGGTAGAACTAATTTGTAATTTTACAGATTATTACCCCTTTATTCCCCCAAATTAGCATATTATTCCCTTATGCCTACACAGAGGTACTGAATAGGTAGGCCTACACTATAATTGCAAAAAAGTTACGCTGTAAATTCTGTTTACTTACGCAGTACGTTGCGGGTTGTCTTTCTGCCTGCTTTTCCCCATTGCACCTTTCTCCTGTTCACAGCCTTTTCTTTACTTCTTTTAAGCATTTTTTATGCCAAATGTTTCAGAAATCCTACTGTTCCAACTGTTTTCATCTCAACACCTGATGACAGGAGAGACGCTGAGCTTTCTGCCACAAATCAGTGGAACATGAGAGCGATCTGTGAACAAGTGTTTCTACACGCTTGTACATCGCTGCTGGATCACATCATACAAATGCTCTTCTAAACATCACAATACAGAGATGTCTGACAGAGAAGAGCTGGAGAACTCAATCAGCATCTACTCATCCGTCTGTGAAACACAGTTGAACTGACGGCTGTCTTCTACATGACAGAGAATCTACCAGCCTTCAAATCACTGAAACTTTGACCCAACAATCACTGGTTTATGTTCAAGAGGAGGAGCGTTAAATCTGAGCAGCTGATGAACTGAAGCTGCTGCTCATTGTGTCTCGTCGTCGCTGTCAGTTATCCAGCATTGTGTCTCTCCTACATGCGATCAGATTTATAGTCGGTGCGGCACAAGGTTTCTTTGAGCTCTAGAAACAGTGACATTGTCGAGCGACACAAGCTGAGATTGACTGAGTCTGTGCTTCACCTTCTGGACTTACATTCATCACAGATCATCAAGATAGTTGTTATTCACTGTTTTGTGACTCACTTTTGATGATTAATAAAGTTTTCAGTGTGAATCTGTCACAAGTCTCCTGTAAGAATCATTCAATAAAAATAAAATTTTAATTTCTCAAAGTTACTGTATGTTTGAAACGTCTTTTCTGTTTCTTACTTAATATAATATTATGATGCCTACTATTACACACTCAAGAACCGAATTTTTTCTCAAGGATGTTCTACGACCATTAAAGGCAGATGAATTTCTTGTCAATACTGATATAATACAGAGAAACAAACACATCAGTTGTAGCTTGACTGTCTCATTTGCTACAAATAAATATTATACTTTTTTTTCATTATATAACAAAATATTAAAATAGATTACATTTATTTCAAAAACTGACAGTAGATATGTACAAGCACACTTTTGAATCAAAACATTTCACAAAATTTAATTTGTTAGCTTTGTTAGTTAAATATGACAATAAATACACAGTTCAAAATGAAGACAAAGACTCTTTGACTGTTTCTGGCTGTCAGTCTTTGTGTAACGTTTATTGTTCCCATAATGAACTGCACCGGTGGTTATTCTGCTGGCATATCTATGTGGTCTTGAGAAGAAAATTGCTGATCATGTGAGGGAAGCCGAGCTGCCTGCTACAAATGAGCGGAGCATAAGAGCGACCTTAGAGCAAGTGTTTCTACTCGCTTGTACCCTTTGCACTTTTCTCCTGTTCATAGCCTTTTCTTTATTTCTTTTAAGCATTTTTTATGCCAAATATTTTCAAACCGATGACAGGAGAGACGCTGAGCTTTCTGCCACAAATCAGTGGAACATGAGAGCGATCTGTGAACAAGTGTTTCTACACGCTTGTACATCGCTGCTGGATCACATCATACAAATGCTCTTCTAAACATCACAATACAGAGATGTCTGACAGAGAAGAGCTGGAGAACTCAATCAGCATCTACTCATCCGTCTGTGAAACACAGTTGAACTGACGGCTGTCTTCTACATGACAGAGAATCTACCAGCCTTCAAATCACTGAAACTTTGACCCAACAAACTTAATGCTGTGATTCTTTTTATAAAACCAATAAAACACTGTTACACTGCTATTGTTGTTGGTGTTTATTTATAATAAACTGATTGCCCAAACAGTTTTGTGAATTTCTTCAAAAACCTTTTAAATAAAAAAGGAAGTCCAGAAATGAGAAAGTAAACTTTGGAAGGCATTGGTTCTGTAATAAATTGGGGAAAAGAAGGATATGACGACCACTACTGATGACTGATCAGTAAAGTAGATTAGTAGATTAGTTTTTTGATAGGCCTACGGAGCCTAGCTGAGTTTACAAAATCAGGTTAACACTAATGTGAACAAAGTGATGCTCATTTGGATCTTCCTTTCAAAACTTCAACTTAACTTACAAATCGTTAAAACTTACTACAGTAATACTATTCTGTGTTTAGTATCATATACTGTTGCTTATTACTGTCTGTCACATAATGCTTTCTTGATGTTCGGCAAAAGACATTTGTGACTCTTTATATGAAGGATGATAATATAACTATATCATCAATAGAACAAAAATTCCTTAATAGGTTGGAGCCCAGTAAGTGTCCAAGATAAAGAACATAAAATATTATAAAAATCTATACTAAACACATGTGCTAAGCCTAAGACATATTCTGTATTCATGTTGGTGTTATATGGTTTTAAAAATCTTTTATACAATTTTCAACAAATGTTGAAGTTATTAACACAGGAACTATCACGAAAAATGATGCTGGTATGATCCTTTGATTTGAAGATCAAAGTATTGCTTTATTTGCAACATGTTTTCTTAAGAAATTATCAGGAACAATAATGGCCAACAAGTAGCCATATTCACCCTCTTAATGACGCTATTCCACATTATACAGAAAAAGCCACCTTGACATTTTTTGTTTACTTTGTGCCAAAAAAAAAAGAAAGAAAAAAAAACAAGAAAACATAAGCTTAATTTCATTTTAAGAAAGTAAAAGATCCTGACAAAAAAAAATCCACATTTTGCCTAACACCACTGAAGTCATTATAACAATCTGTCATTGATTTTTAACTAAAGAATCAAATCTACATTAACAACAGTTATGCAAAGTGCATGCTATTTATAATTAGGCAACCAGAAACAGAAAAAGTAAGAATAGTGGGCCTATTGTTAGTGGTTTGATTCTCTTTTGGTCATATTTACCTGTAAGTGGTTCGCAAGGTGCATTTGCAGGTGTTCACTCGAAGACCTTCTTCACTGCTGCTCGCAAATGATAGGATGCGTTTACAGTCTTTACTTGACTGTGTGTAAACATCTACTTCATCCAGCTCTCTAGTTTGTTCTCTGTGTTCCTGTCAGTGAGAACCTTCCACTAGTAGAATCTACAAATGATTCAGTTGTGGGCGAGCTGTTCGAATGATTCAAACTGAATCATAAACCCGTTTGAATGATTCAGTCCAATAACCAACTCTAGTACACTCTTAAAAATAAAGGTGCTTCGTGATGCCACAGAAGAACCTTTTTGTCTAAATGGTTCCATAAAGAACCTTCAACATCTGAAGAACCTTTCTGTTTCACAAAAGGTTCTTTGTGGCAAAAAAAGGTTCTTCAGATTATAAAAAAGTAAGAAAGAGATGGTTCTTTAAAGAACCTTTGACTGAATGCTTCTTTGTGGAACCAAAAATGGTTCTTCTATGGCATCGCTTGAAGAACCGTTTGAGGCACCTTCATTTTTAAGAGTGTAGCCTGAAAATTCATTCACAAATCAGCAGCGTTAATAAACGACAGAAATACAGGACGCATGACATGATACATGACATGAACATATTTTGAGAGAAAATGTGTCACATATTATCACATTTTATTCCTAAAGTTAACATCAACCGAAACTAGACCTATACACGCAAAATGATTTTTGCAATGAAGATTGTTTCATTAGTACCACAACGAGTTTTAAAACTAATTCACAGTACAAGGATTCTTTTAAATAAACAAGACTCTGTGTGTTTGCAGTTTATATAGGCTACCCCTGCTTTGGTGTATTGCTATATTTTGAAATATTAATATATCAGTTATGATGCATTTTGCTTGAAATCAAAATAAAACAGCATTCACGACCTTTTAAGATGACAGAAGACTAATATATTTCACTTTAAATGTTTGACAAGCTATATAAACTTTATAGGGCAAAACTGTTTTGACAACTTCTGTTTTTACAAACTTAAATAGGTTTCTGTTATATTAATTGGTGGTAAATATTCCTTAACATGAACTAAAATAAAATATGAATAAACTATGTTGTTTCAGCTAATTGCCTGGGCAACAGTTTCATTTAGTTTTATGTACTAACATTTATTTAAATTAAACGAAAACAAGCAAAGAAAAAAAATGAACAAACAACACCACAATTGTACATAACATGTCCACCATCATCATTTAGCCTGCTGAAAAGTTTACCTTGTTAAAGAGCGACCTCTGCTGAGCAATTGGCAAATATATTTTTGGAATGACACTGACATTATTTTCCATTAGTTTAAATCATTATTTTCCTGATAATCCCAGTAAAGCTGCTTTGAAGCAATCTGTAATGTATTGTTTAAAGCGCTATATAAATAAATTCGACTTGACACATGTGGGATCTAGATTTACTTTGCTTTAGTAATAACTTGCTACGTTCTATAGCTTTCTTTTTTTGCATGAATTTTGCAATATTTGCACATGCATCTCACATTTCTTTAGAAAATGTAAAAATAAATTCAACTTTGCATGTTACTCTAACTTAAAACATCATGCAAACCCATTCTAGCATACATAAAGTTAGGTAGGCCTATCATTCATAATGGCTTGGATACCAACATCTCATGATACCAAGCTGCATGCCCTTATTCCAGCCCATCATCCCGTCTAGTTTTCGCATGGAAGGCTCCGGCGCTGGAGCTCGAGACCAGTGTTGCCAACTTAGCAATTTTGTTGCTAAATTTAGCAACTTTTCAGACTACCCTAGCAACTTTTTCTTCCAAAAGCACCTAGAAACAAATTTAGCTATTTTTTTTATTTATTTGGCAGCTTTTAGCAACTCTTGATAAGTGACTCCAACGATAAAAAGGCACAATTTAGCATTTAAATTACACAAAAAGAGGAAACAAAGATGCCTAGCAGTACACACGTTACAGGAATTAAGTTAGCTGCTATTTGCAATTGTTTAATTTAATAGTACTACTAATAATAACTGAATACTGTTATTTTTCATTTATGAGACACTTTGTTAGTAGCTTGTACCTGTGATTGTTGATGAGTTAGTGCACTGTAAGAAAAATATGCAGAAAAATGGAAAAGTTGCTAGTCACTTTCCAGGACATTAATTAGCCGTTATCCGTTGTAACCCGAAAACACAAAATACAATGCGTAATTAAAAATGCAGGTACAAAAACCTGTGGAAAAATTAATCCAGAAAATCCCTTCATATTAACACAGAAGATTGTGCATTCTTTTGTACTTTTCTTGAGAGTGCAGCATACTAACTAACTACTAATAACCCGCTTTAAAGTATAAAACTTCAATTGTAATCCATCACAACATCATTTAGCAACTTTTAGCAACAAATCAACCTTCCTTTAGCAACTTCCCCTGAAAATGAGTTGGCAACAACACTGGTGGAAGGTTCTGGAGCGCCGCGGTTTATATGAGAGCGACAGCGCGCGCTGCGTTCAGCGGCAGTACAACAGTCACACAAGCGGACTAGCAGAGAGACGAGCCGGCGTTTCCTCTTCCTTTATCCCTGTGAGTATTATCAAACTCATAACGTACACACATACAGTCACGAAGATTAATTTGAAGGGTTCTCTCTAGAGCCATTCACTCATGTAACGGACAGTTTGAGTAGGCTATCACGTTAGCTTTCAAGTAAGTTCATAACAGTCTGTTGTAATTCAAGTGACCGCTTGTATTAACCTGCTCTGATATTGTTTCATGTAACATATGTATGTTTAGTGGCATTATTAAACACTGTATTAAGCTTTAATATGCCCTTTGACTGTCATAGGCATGTCGTGGTAGTAGGCAGGGCTGTTGATAGCCTGTGTTGTGTTCCTGTAACGTTACACTGTAGCTGATTCCTGTCAAAGATGGTTCGAGAAACCGGTTTCTACGATCTGCTCGGCGTCAGTCCCAAAGCCTCGCTGGACGAGATCAAGAAGGCATATCGGAAACTGGCGCTGAAATATCACCCGGACAAAAACCCGAATGAAGGCGAGAAAGTAAGTGGAGGTGGTGCGCCGCGAGCGGATACTGTATCATGTTTCACGTTGCCTGATAAATACAGCGACGGAAATGAGAGGAACTTTCTGGAAGTGTCCTGAACACTCCTGAGAGCTGCTGCGAGACGCATTTCTAACGGTGGTGTTTTAAAATGAGGAGGCAGTTTTATATATATTTATATATAAAGATTACATACAAAAGTGAATATAATTCTATGTTGTATTTTATTAATATTATTTTTATTTGAATACTAATTATGTATTTCATAGTGTTTTTATGCATTTTTATATTTATTCCAAAATAATGACTAAAGGCAGTAACAATTTGAACAATATTCTGGAAACAGTTTACACTAAGGTTTCATTAGTTAACATGAACTAAGAATAAACAAGAGCCTACTTCTACAGCATTTATTATTTCTTAGTTAACATTAATTTCAGCATTTACTAATGCATTATTAAAATCAAAAGTTGTGTTTGTTAACATTAGTTTATGCACCGTGAACTAACAATGAACAACTGTATTTGTATTAACTAATGTAAACAAAGA